CCAAACTAGAAACAACTCAAATATCCTTCAGTGAGTGAATGGATAAACAAACTGTGGTAATCTGTACAATGGAATTACAATAAAATATTATTGCTTTTAATGCAGCAATAAAAAAGCACCACTGATCTACACAAGATGAGTCAAACGCATTTTGCAAAGTAAAAAAATCAGACCCAAAAGTCTGTTACATATTTTATGATTCCATTTGTGTGACAGTCTAGAAAGGCAAAACTCTAGGGAAGAAAACAGACCAGGGACTGCCGGGGGTGAGTGAGGGGTCAGGGGAAAGACTGTCTCCAAAGGAACGGCATGGAGGAGTTTTGGGATTGATGGAACTGCTCATATGAAACTGTAGCAATGGATAGAATTGTAAAGCACAGAAAGTGAAGTTTAGAAGTACATAAATTTTTAAAGGTCAACCAGGATATGAGGCAAAGATGGAACACAGAATGTGACTAACGAATCTAACTATATTATAAATGAATCATGTACTCACACTGAAGAGTATGGGGCAGGGAGATGCTGACTTAAGAAACTTTAGCAAACGGCAGTTTTGTCTAGATATTTTAATGATAAATTCAAAACTGCAGATAAACACTGTACTCTGGTTGCAGAATTTGTTTTTCATGTGGGTATGGGTTATGAATTCTGAAACTACTTTATTTATATACTAGGGTAAATATATTGTAGATAATGAGAGCCAGTTTTATCGCTATTAGAGACAGAAGTTACAAATAAAGAAAGGGAAAAGGCTAGAATCAACTCTGTGGATCTGTACTGGAGTCAGAGGTATCAATATGGACACATGGCTTAAAACACACACACATATTAAAAGATACAGATATGAGTATACACATAAGTTAACATATCTACCTATATTTCTTAGCTTTATTCACTGAGAAAGGCTAAACACAGCAACATCCCACCAGCAGTGAGCATGCCAGGTACTTACATCTTGCTTTCTAAATACTATCCTTCTTCCTCCCTTCAAAAATAAGAGGGTTTTTTGGCTGGGCACGGTGGCTCACATCTGTAAATCCCAGCATTTTGGGAGGCCGAGACGGGCAGATCACCTGAGGTCAGGAGTTCAAGACCAGCCTGGCCAACATGGTGAAACCCCATCTCTACTAAAAATACAGAAAATTAGCTGGGCGTGGTGGCACGGACCTGTAATCCCAGCTACTCTGGAGGCTGAGGCAGGTGAATTGCTTGAATCCGGGAGGTGGAGGTTGCAGTGAGCCAAGATCATGCCACTGCACTCCAGCCTGGGCGACAGAGCAAGACTCCACCTCAAAAAGGAAAAAAAAGAAAAAAAAAAAAACAAAACCAAGGGTTTTTTAATGAAACAGCTGATTCCACGTCTGGGGCAGGGTACAGGAGCCAACCTGAAAGCGCTCCAAATAGCTAAAAAGAGAACTTGAGCAACAAAAATAGTAATGGTAGCATTGGATTATAATCCAAATAATGAAATAAACACTTATGAGTCTACAATAATGCAAATAAATAACCTAAGGCAGAATAAATGAGGGAAGAACAATTCTCCTTACAGAGGAATTCCAATTAACAAATGTAGAAGAGATGGAAGGCATGAAAAAATTAAAACACCACAGTAATAACTGCTACAGCCAAGATCCACTCATGAATGCTAAAATTAGTACTCAAAGTTTAAGCAGAAACAGGTTATTTGCACAGTCTAACAAAATCTCCCTCAAATGTTTAGTATCTCCAAAGGAAAAACAGTAACTTTACAGTGGAGAATCTTAGCAGATACCACTTTAGCCAAGTGACCAAGGTTAACATCACCAGTAACGCATATCAACATAATGTGCTCTCTGTTGCGACGCACTGAGAATGCATAACCCTAATCTAACCTTGAAACATCAAACAATACTAAATTGAAGAAGCTTCTTCAAAATAACTTATTAGCACTCTTCAAAGTGTCAAGGTCATGGAAGACAAAAAAAGACTGGGAAACTGTCATAGATTGGAGGAGTCTAAGACATGACAACTAAAATGCAAGATGGAATCCTGGGTTGGATCTCAAAAAAGTTCATTTGTGGAAAAACCTGGTGAAATCAATGTTATATAGTTTTATACCAAGAAGAATTTCTTATTTTGATAAATATTTTATGGTTATATTATGGTAAGATGTTAAATGGAAGCTTCAGTAAAGGTTACATGGACAACATCCCCCAATGACACCAACCTCTTGGTATTCAGGACCCTGTGTAATTCCCAACCCTTGGGTGAGAGCTTTAGACAGTGACTCATTTCTACTGAAGAGAATGTGGCAGAGGTGACGAGATGACACATCCAAGGGTAGGTAACAAAAAGACTGTGGCTTTTGTCTTGGGCACCCTCTCTTGCCCTCTCACTGCCTCACTGAGGGAAGCTTAGGTGTCATATTATGAGTGCCTTATAGAAGCAAAAAGCCCATGTCTCTGGCCAAAGCCATGGCCATGTGAGTGAGGCTGGAAGCACATCCTCTCAGGCAAGCCCTGTGATGAGACCACATTTGTAGCCAATACTTTGTTTGCAACCTTGTGAGACAACCTAAGCCAGAGGTACCCAAATAAGCTACATTTAGATTTCTGACCTACATAAATTTTCAGATGTTTATTAAGTTGCTACATTTCAGGGTAACACAATACACAGCAACAGATAATACAGAACCTCTCGGTGCTATTTATTTTGGCAACTCCTCTGTAAGTCTAAAATTATCTCAAAATGGAAACGTTTGAATATATTTTATACATACATACTTTATAAACATTTTATACACATATACTTTATAAATTTTGAGGCGGAGTCTTGCTTTGTTGCCAAGCTGGAGTACAGTGGCGCAATCTCAGCTCACTGCAACCTCCGCCTCCCTGGTTCAAGCGATTCTCCTGCCTCAGCCTCCTAAGTAGCTGGGATTATAGGCATGTGCCACCATGCCCGGCTAATTTTGCATTTTTAGTAGAGATGGGGTTTCTCCATGTTGGTCATGCTGGTCTCAAATTCTCAACCTCAGGTGATCCGCCCACCTTGGACACCAAAGTGCTGGGATTACAGGTGTGAGCCACCGCGCCCAGTCCTTTATAAATATTTTATAAACTATTATATATATATTTACTTATATATATGTTTTTTGCATCTGTGTGTGTGTGTGTGGTTTGAATTATTTACGGACTGTGGAGTTCGATAAACCTAGGTTCAAATGCCACCTCCAATGCTCAATGGACATGTGATCTTGGGCAAAATATCTTCTCTAAGTCTCAGGTTTTTTAAATCCACAACTGAGATAATAATATCTATTTCTGATTATTACACTAAGTATAAGCATCTACTACAAATGTACACCCTGAGCAAATGGCATTATTGTTAGTTCACATTTATAATCATCTATTATTTTCTTCTCATTCATAGCTTTACCTGACTTTTAAGGTATTCAGTATAATACTTTAGCATTTAACCTTCGAGGAGTTTAAAAATTATATATGAAATTGTCAATGTTTTAATTTCTAAACTTTTTTTTTTTTTAAAGTATCAATACTGACCAGCCTAGCCAACATGGCAAAACCTCATCTCTACTAAAAATACAAAAATTAGCCAGGCATTGTGGTGCACGCCTGTGGTCCCAGCTATTCGGGTGGCTGAGGTGGGAGGATGGCTTGAACCCAGGGACGGAGGTTGCAGTGAACCAAGATCACATCACTGCACTCTGGTCTGGGTGACAGAGCGAGATTCTGTCTCAAAGAAAATTTTTAAAGGTATCAGTACTGATCTCTATAGCACTCTACTGTTTATAACACTGAAATCAGAGATTGACTTTTTTTTTTGCCCCAATCTATTATCGCAATCCCTAACTTTTAGAGCTGTAAGGGACTTTTCAGCATTCCAACCCTTTCCTTCTATGTATGAGTGCCAAGGATATTAAATGAGTTGTCCAGGATCGTGGCTGGAAGAAGAGTTGGAATGAGGGTTCAAATTCTAGGACAGAGTACTGTGTAGGGGAACAACTCCTTACTTTGATTAAACAGAATGCATTTGAATACTCTTTATCTTGCCTACAAACAACATCTTTTGGCACAAGTTTTCCAGCAGGAAAATAGAGATCTCATCACCTGCTTCATAGGATCATTATGAGAACTAAGTAAGATAGCATATGTAAGTTCCTTATTGCCATGACTACTACCACATGTAGATTATGAATAAACATTTCTCTCACCCTCCTTTCCAAGCCTAGTGCTCTCCACTGTGGTACGATGCCTCTTCAACTATAAGGTAAAATACTAAACATACAGGTAGTTCTGTTTTACCATATGGTAAGAGGCTCATTAAAGTAAAACCGAATTAATGGCAAAGTGCTAAAACTCGGCTGAATAATATAAATCTAACGGACTTATGCCTGAATTGGGTTTCCTTTCCTACAATACTCTATGAGGTGGGGCATCATATCAGGAAGCACACTATGTTGACTGATGTTTTACTGGTGATGCTAATCTTCATCATTTGACTAAACTGGTATCTGCCAGGATTTTCCACTATAAAGCTACTTTCTTTGTAAACACTAAATATTTGAAGGAAGTCATGAAATAGAACCAGAGCTGGAGGAGAGAGAGAGAGAGGGAGAGGGAGAGAGAGAGAGTGACCAAGCACCCACGTACATGGGCACAACCTCCAAAGGAGATCCTCAGCATATGTCCAACATAGTAAATAAATTAGTAATTGTATCATTGGATGATCAAAGATTCCTTTCAAGGTCATTCAGTTTTTTAAAACACTTGATGTCAAGTCTTGCCAAGAGCCCTCTGAAAGTATAAATGCATTACTATCATATGTTCTCTCTTACTTAACACATTTATTCCTTGAAAGACTTCTAGTAATTAGTCAGACACAACCTCCACTCAGAGAAATCACACAGCCTTTTCCCCAAGAACCAATATCTACTCAAGTATTTGAAACATTTTATCACAAAGTCCATCCAGCTTGCTTGTTATCACAATGAGACTCACCGATCTGCAGATACTGGGGTCCCCTCTGGATTGGAATGTCCTTCGAAATCTGAAATGTTCACTTGTATTTGCCTTGAGGTTACTATCTGGCTATTCTGAGAAGGTATAGTTTTCAAGTCCTGAGTAATAGTGTTACTGTCTGGAAGAGAAGGCTGTACGACTCGGAAATCCAGTGAAGATTTAGGTCCTAGAAAACCTAAAGATTCTTGATCCTGTACTACAGGTTTACTGGTCAATAATTTGGAGGTTGGTTCCAGTGATCTCGAAGATACAGTATGTAAGTCAAAGTTAAACTCACTATTCATCCTCGCTTTAGAAGCAGCATCCAATGAATGGCATCTTTTATCTAAAGTTCCACTATCCAACTTGGAAGAAGTCTTGGGACAAAGAGTTATACGAACACAAGAAAGTGCTTTTCTATTTGAAGGAGGAGTAGATGCAGATGTTGCTAAGGTACACTGATTTGGGGCTGACTGGGAGACCACATTATTGAACTTGGCTTCAACATTTATACTAGAAATGTGTGATTTAGGCTTATGTTGATTATTCTTTTCCACTACACAATCCTGACCTTGAGGAAAGGGAAAATGGTGTTTACTCATTTGGTCATCTACACCTGGCGCTTTGCTTTGGCATTGTTCAAGAGAAATGGGAGAAGGAAGGTCTGAAGCTATAGAATCCTGACCTTGAGGAAGGGGAGAATGGTTTTCTCTCATTTGATGATCTACATATGGGGCTTTGCACTGTTCAAAGAGTTCTCGTTGTTCAAGAAAAATGCAAGAAGGAAGGTCTGGAGCTACATAATCCTGATGTTGAGGAGAGGGAGAATGGTGTTTCCTCACAGGGTCATCTGTATGTGGGGCTTTGCTTTGTTCAAAGAGCTCTCGTTGTTCAAGAAAAATGCAAGAAGGAAGATCTGGAGTTACAGTTACATTCTTCTCTTTTACTCCTAGTCTGGAACTCGATCTGCCTACTCCTAGGGTGGAACTTGGTCTGCCCATGCTAATAAGGGTATGGTTATCAGAAATTTGAATTTCCTTGAAATTGCTACAATTTGCACTGGTACTGGGCTCAGAATGATTGCCTGTAAAATCTGGTCTTTCTAAGGGTTTTTCTTCTTGACAAGAATGCTCAAAATCAACAGATAATTTTTGGCTTTGCCTTCTACCTTCTGCTAAAATAGTCACTTCTTTATCTGGTGAATTACTATGCATTTTAAATGATGAAGGGGAAGAGGATTTCTGTTTAAGATCTCTAGGAGGATTTTGTTCTTCAGTGAAATGAGAATTAAATACCCCCACAGATGCTCCAGTACACTGGCTACCTTCAGTAACACCAACCTTAACAACAGAGGAATTGGAAATGCATTTAGAATGTCGGTGAGATGAAAAAGTGATGGAGGTAGTAAACTTTTTCACGGGTTCTGGGGATGGCATTTGTGTTGAAGAATGAAAATCCACTTTTTTAGGTGGCACAAAAGCAGGTTCTACTAATTCTGACAGCCAAGGGTTCATCTTTTCATGGAATGGCATTCGAAGACCTTTGCTGATTTTGAATTCATCAGGTATAAAGTTTTGAAAAGGGGAATGACTTTTTAACTGCAAGGAATTCCAAACTTTGAAATGGGAGTTGTTCTGGTCTAAGGATGCAGAAAGGTTGACGTGCTTGGCTCTACATGATGATGGGCTCTGACGTCCTCTGGTCATTTCTGAGGGTTCAGCAGATCTAAAAGCACAAGAGTGGCTATCTAGTTGTGGTTGTTCAGAAGTTAGAGTCCGGAAACATCCTTTTTCATGGCTCTCAATAATAATGTGACTACATACAGCTTCTGGCTTGCATCCCATTCCACGTGGACTCTGTAAACCCTAGAAGATATAAACAAACAGGTTCTTATTTGAAGTAGTCCAAGTAGTTACATACACATTAGTTTTATACCCACGCTAAGATTAGACCATGAAGATCATGTCATTCTTTTATAATATAACAGGACAAAGAGCACAGCAAGAAAAAAAGATAGTTAACTACAGAATAAAAAGGCTCACAATGATTAAGACCACTCAGAGAGTTCTCCTAAAAATTTCCCACTAAAGTAAACAGCAAAGATTATTATTGTCCACCAGTAAGTATTCTCATCTTTCTTTTAATAATAGAAATCCCTTACTCAAATTTTTGCTAGCCACATAGCCACCAAGTGGGAGGCATTTCCTGTTTTTTTCTGCAGCTAGTTGTGACCACATGACTAGGTTGAGGCCAATGGGATATGACTGAAGGCATCAAGTACAACTTCCGCTTCCTGTCCTTAAAATCAAGTTCTTGATCTGCGTGTTCCCCTAGTATCACCACCACTATCACCACTATTTTTCTCACCTGCTAAAAATGGTAATGCATGGAACAACCTTGGAAGTCATGTGTAAGGACAGTTTAGTTGTCCAGCCAGCTTGGGTTCCTGGATGACATCAAGGAACAGAGCTCACTTTCCTAACATGAACAATGACGTGAAAATAAAATTCTATCTTATTTGAGCCACTGTATGTTTGGCTATTACAGAAGCTTGACCTACATCCTAATATTTGACCCCTAAGAATGGCGGGAAAAAAACCAAGACCTTGTTTCCTGGCACACAGGATCGGTACTCAAAGCTACCATAAATATAACATTTCTTTGAGGTTTCTGTGTTTTACCTATAAAGTCATTATAACTTGGCATTCTATTTGATGATATAGCAACATCTGATTCCAGATTAAAATATTTTAAATTATGCTGCATCTCCCCAGGTGATGAACTAGATGTATTTTTGATGGCAGCAGCATCCCATCTGCAGTGGCTGCTGCCATGATGCCAGTTGCAGTGGGGAAGGAGCAGCTAGGGCTGCTCACTCTACTGAGCTGGTGGGAGCTGGGAACAGGCAGAAGTCCCACTCCCTTTTGAGGTGGAGGGGCAGGAACCCCACCCTCCTGGGCAGCTGTAGCTGCCCAGTCACAGCTGTGGACCCAGGCAAGCCTGCAGTCTCAGGGACCTGGGAACTCCCCCTGCCCTTGCAGGTTCAAAAGTGCCTGCTCCCACTGTCTGGCCTCTCCCCACTCCTGGTGCCCGTTCCCATTACAGAGCAAAGTTGAGGCCAAGCCCAGGCACTGTCGCGACCCAGCCAAGTGTGCACACACTTGGGGCAGCACTGATACACCAGCCCCCTGCCGCCCCTCCAGACACTGGGCACCCACAAGCATAGGAGGGAGGTTGCAGGGGCGGGGAGGGCTGAGGGCAGCTCAGAGTGGGCCTGCAGGTGCCCCTTGACATGAACAGCCTGGGTGTGCCACAGGTACCAGAGATAGCAGAGAGATGGCAGACAGGCTCCTGGGCAGAAAGGGGAAGGTCACCGATGAAGCCATACCTTTAAGCCAGGGATCACTTGAAGGGCTGTCAGTTCCGCGGACAGGCGAACTTTTTCTGGGCCTGCACATGGACCAATTGGCATGTACCTACTCCCCTCTGAAGCCCATAAAAATCCTGGACTCAGCCAGACTTAGAGAGACAATAGAGCTACCCACTCCGGGTTTCCTCTCTGCTGAAAGAGGCACAGATTATGGGATGACCTGCATGCAGGTAGGAGCTACCCGTTCTGGGTCTCCTCTCTGCTGAGGGCTGCACAGACAATGGGACAACTTTGCCTGCGGACAGGAGCTACTCACTCTAGGTTCTCCTCTCCACTGACAGCTGGACACTCGTTGGGACGACCTGCCTACAGAAAGGAGCTACCCGCTTTGGGTCTCCTGAAAACTGTTCTGCCACTCGATGAAGCTCCTCTCCATCTTGCTCACCCTCTAGTTGTCCACATACTTCATTCTTCATGGATGTAGGACAAGAACTCAGGATCTACCAAGTGGTGGGACTAAAAGAGTTGTAACACAAACAGGGCTGAAACGTGCCCCCTCCCTGCCTGTCATGTTGCAGGGAACAAGAAGGAGAGACAAGCTGCGGCCTTTCAGGAAGCCCAGACATAGGGGGTCCCCGAGCCAGGACTATGACACCCTCTTTGGGGTTTTGTGGTTCCTGGTGTCTTCCAAGCTTCCAGTTGCCACCATGTTTCCCTTGCCCAGATGTGGGTCCCCACAGCAGAAGCCATGCACAGTACATTTTTGGTCCAGCTGCAGCCTTGCATGGAGCCAGCACCAGTGCCAGCACCTGGAGCTGCCTGCCCCACCACAGCAGTCAGCATGCCTGGCTGTGTGCAGTGGCTAGACCCCACACTTGCTTGCCCACACACCCTTCACCACTCCACGCCTGGCTCATGTTTGGCAAGTGTAAGATCCAGCACAGTAGTGTGAGCCAAGCACAGCCTGCCAGGCTGAGTGGGCAGAACGTGCCCAGCAGGTGTGAACAATATTCAGGCAGAAGGTGCTGCTGGCCACAGTGGTTTCTAGCTTGCAAAGTGACACCCTGAGGATCCTGTGACATTTTTCTTTCTTTTCTCTTCTTCTTTGTTTAAGACAGGGTCTTGCTGTGTCACCCAGGCTGGAATGCTGTGGCACTATCACTGAAGCCTCAACCTCCCGGGCTCAGGTGATCCTAACACCTCAGCCTCCTGGATAGCTGGGACAACAGGCACATGCCACTACACCGGGCTAATTTTCTTATTTTTATTTTTGTAGAGACTGGGTCTCACTTTGTTGCCCAGGCTGGTCTCCAACTCCTGGATTCAAGAGATCCTCCTGCCTCAGCCTCCCAAAGTGCTGGGATTACAGGCATGAGCCACCGCACCTGGCCAGATGTACTTTTCTCTATTTTTCCTGCGAAGTAAAATTAAGCCCACTGGAAAATATATATAAAACAGATGTAAGAAGAATCTGAAAGATGTAGAGAAGAAGGCAGATTAGCTAGAGATCTAGGGACCTGAGGAATTATCCTGTGGTGTAATCCCTGGGTTTTCTTTATCTCTTGCATACACAGACTTGGAGCTGAAGAAGTCAGCAACCCAGGAACAATGGACACAGACAAAAAACCCTAACAAAAGCTTTTCTCACTAGCTAAAAACCCAGCAGAGTTAAAGCCTAGCAAAAGAGAAAACTTTTAACTAATAACCGTTCTACTCTAGCCAACCACCAAAGAAAAAACTAGACCCACTCACACCAACACCAGCAAAGGCCAAGTGAGGAGCCCAGGACTCACTTTCATCTCTGCTGGCTGATAAAGTGCTATCCCTTCCTTGTGGTGTCCGTGAAAGTCTAGGGAAGCCTAGACTATCCAGCAAAACAAAATGTTCCCCTCTCTCCCAGCTACAGGTTAAAAGAAAACATTTGTAAACCTCATGTCCAATAAAGGTCTTATATCTGCTAGACTTACATCTAACATATATATAGAACTCACAACAGTAAAAAGGAAAAAAAAGATAATCCAATTAGAAAATGGGCAAAAGATGCAGACATTTCACTTAACAGGATACAGAGATTGGAAACAGAGATATGAAAAAATGTGCAACCTCAAAAACCATTAAGGAAATACACATTTAAAACTTAGTAAGATACCACTACATACCTATTAGAATGACTAGAATAAAAATAGTGACAGTATCAAATGCTGGTGAGGACATGGAGTAGATGGATTACTCACACACTGCTTGTGGGAATGTAGATGATATAACCACCCTGGAAAAAGGTGTGGCCTGTCTTTCAAAAAACTAAACATGCAACTACCACATGACCCAGCAATTGCAATCCTGGGCATTAACCCCACAGAAACAAAGACATATTCACACAAAAACTTGCACATGAATGTTTACAGCAGCTGTACTGGTAAAGCCAAAAACTGGGAAACAACCAAGATGTCCTTCAATAGTGAATATTTAAACTGTGGTGCATTCATACTTTGGAATACTATACATCAATAAAAAAGAAAAACCACTGATAAACAAAACAATCTGGATGAATCTCCAGATAATTATTGTATTGGCTGAGTGAAAAAAAGGCCAATGCAATAAGGTTGCATACTGTATGTTATCATTTACATGACATTCTTGAAATTACAAAGTTACAGAAACAAAGGAACAAATTAGTGGTGCCAGGAGGTCAGTAAAAGGTGGGGCAGGAAAGAAGTGGAAGTAGCTATTATAAGGTATCATGAGCCACCTTTGTAGTGATGTAAATGTTCAGTATCTTGGCTGTATCAGTATCAATGTTGTGGTTGTGACATATTGTCATAGTTTTGCAAGATGTTACCACTTAGGGAAATTGGGTGAAGAGTATATGTGATATCTCTATATTATTTCTTACATGTGAAACTACAATTATTTCAAAACAAAATGTTGACTTAAAAAATTAAATACCACTGGACAAAATTAACACTTTAAAAATGTCATTTTTTGGCCCATCAATGATAGACTGGATAAAGAAAATGTGGCACATATATACCATGGAATACTATGCAGCCCTAAAAAAAAGAATGAGATCATGTCCTTTGCCAGGACATGGATGAAGCTGGAAGCCATCATTCTCAGCAAACTAACACAGGAACAGAAAATCAAACACCACGTGTTCTCACTCATAAGTGGGAGTTGAACAATGAGAACACATGGACACAGGGAGGGGAATATCACACACCGGGGCCTTTCGGGGGGTGGGGTGCAAGGGGAGGGAGAGCATAGGACAAATACCTAATGCATGCAGGGCTTAAAACCTAAATGATGGGTTGACAGGTGCAGCAAACCACCATGGCACATGTAATACCTATGTAACAAACCTGCACGTTCTGCACATGTATCCTGGAACTTAAAGTAAAATAAATAAATAAACAAATGAATAAATAAATAAATATTCTGTCATTAGCTGATAAAAATAGATGTAAAAATTTTATTTGGGCAAAAAAAAAAGTTTTT